TCTAGATCTGATGAATCCTCGATTTTCGAAAAGTGAGGTGAAACCAATAACTTCCAGATTTTTTAAAAAACATTCATTTTCGTAGCGGGAACTTAAAAAACAAACAGCAATTGTAAGCCTCCTCTTTTTAAGTCGGCTAAAAATTATCAAATTCGATTGCAGGAATCTACTGTTAAGGTGATTCCTCGAAAATTTGGTGGTTTTTCTATTTAACATATTTTTGTAAGTTTTATAGATTATAAACCAAAATTTTGGTATATGAATTTTGACTATATGATCTTGGATTGCATAAAAGGAAAACACGATATCATGAAAAAAGTTGCAAAGTAGGCTCTAATTATTTACATTTCTCGATGACACCACAATATTCTTACGAATAATTTCATGGAATTATTTTTAAGGCATAGTAAATAATCATATCTAAGTTCTCATAAACCAGTTTTTTAATCCATAACAAAGTTTTGTTAAAATAAATAAAAATGTTGTTTGGCGCTTACTTAGTTTTTTTCCGAGCGTGTGCTCGGTATGGCTATCTCTTTAATTTACGTACTATGAAGTCATTGCATCACTTTCATTTTGACACTCCCTCAGTCGTCCGTTAGCTTCACCGACAAAGGAATAAGCCACGCCCCCAAAACTTCGATTCATTTTCGAGGTATCCTCTTAACTAATTATATGAAACATTCATCAAGATGTGAGCCTTAGAGCATCCGCTGTGGGCGCCATGATCCCGTTGCAAGAGACAGTCACTCCTACCGCGGTCGGGACCTCAGGTTAAGGCGACACCGTGAAAAAATGCACCTCCTTTCATCGAATAGTATAGGACTCTGAACCACTAACGAAAGTGGAATTTTGATATAGATTAATTCATGTCTTTATCTTCAATTTGATTGTTCAAAAACACGATTGTATAATTTTGACTCGATCATAATTATTTGCGAAAACACCTCTAAAAAATCACTATAGTTGAAATTACAACGAAATTACTAAATCTAATGAATCACTCAAATATTTTCATAACATCAATATCCATAATTTACTTGCTCATTATTTTGATTACTTAAATCAATAATTTTAAAAAAAATATTTTAAGATTCTGACAATTTGTAAGCGCTTTTAATCGTCGCGGGTGCTACGCAATTTTAGACCTTATGACAGCGTTTTTACAAGTTTTTATAGAAATTATGTATTCACTCGGATCAGTACGGCGATAGGCTTTTCGATGCGTAGCGCTAACGTAGGCGGCCGCTGTTACATATTCACCGTTCGCGTGTACAGTCATGACGTCCATAATAGATTACCTATTAATTTATTTGCCGAATCCCATGTTAGATATATACATTACCCTATACTGGTGAACTTTTTTACCACCTGGAAAAAATGGGGTGTAACATGTGAACGGAGTAGAAGTCTTTTAATTAATTTAAACCTATCGAAATTCAAATCATATCCAGGGTGGATTTTATGAACGGCAATAAAACAATAAATTTAGTAGGCATCTTTGACCTTGTCACTTCGCAGTGTCACACTAGGGTGAATATGATTTGAATTTCGATAGATTTTAATTAGGTAGTTTTTTATTAATTAAAATCAATTTCAATTCAAACTTTTTGTTTTTATTTTTTGTTAAATATCAGTGCCATCATACGCTTCTACTACGTTCACATGTTTCTTTTTCTTTTCCAAACGGTAAAAAGATCATCCAGTATTTTAAATTATTAAAAAAGTTTGTAATAAGTTAAAATAATAAATAAAACTTTTGATTTTTTATTCATATGAAATAGTAAATAATGCCTTCTAAATTGAGTTTTAGGTCGCGGCGGTCAGTCTTAGTATGCTAGTCACTGCACTGAACTGGATTATAGAGTGCAAGTATATGTGGAAGCACAGGTGCTCTCTCTATTCTCTAACTCTCAAGTCCAATGGGACGGCAATAGAAGAGAAATCGAGTACAGAACCAACGGATTTACGCACTTTCGGAGGCATGTGGTGGTAAAACCGCCGACTTCCTGACTCAGCGCTGATTTTTAAAATTTTCTTTACAGAATAACTCAATAAATTTTAATTTTTTTCAAGTTGTGGGATTTAAACCCAGAATCACATGATCAGCAGCCACGTTAACGCCCAATAACCAACGAGGCAATCATAAATACAAAGTATTATATATTACGTCATACATATAATAATAAAACATAGTAATAATGAAGTTAACCTACTTTCCTTCCTTCCAGAAAGAGAAGCTTCTCGATAAATTACTTCACTACTTTAATTTTTACAATAAATAACTTATCGAATGTATTTTCACGGCACGTGTAGCCCGCGAATGCAGCGGTGTTCATTTATTTGTATGAAACAAATCCACGAGCGGAAACTCGCGATGTACTCGATGTCGTCATGTATACCATACGAATCCCATACACGATCCAGTTTACCGTCAAGTTTATAGCGCGGTTGTAGCGGCGTCTAGTATACATGACAGTGTATGGTGCATGATAAGTCTACTTGAAGCAAAGAATAAATTTCTATTCTGCCGACTTGATCAAGATTGCAGCTTCATGTAAAGTTGAAAGTGTTCAATGCCTAACATGGCTAACGCGTCATCATTCATCACTGGTAACACCATGGTTTTAACTGGTGCGGCATCATGAAAAACCAGTGAGTGGTCTGGTCTATATCGATGCACTGCAAACTGGACGCCGCGCCGCTTCAAGCGCGCTGCTTACTTGACGGTAAACTGAATTGTGTATGGCTGCCCTAACGTATACCGCCGCACACACTGTGTTTACTGTTAGTGGGTAGCGAGCGCGACTTAGAAAAGAAAAAAAGAGAAAAAAACAACGCCCGCTTAACATTTTGGTTTATAATCGTTGTGTTATTATTATTATTATTGATTTTTTCAGCAAAGGCAGACAGGGGTCTCAAAAGAACAAACAAACAAACAATCACATATAGGTACATAGTACGTGACCACAAAGCGTATGTGCACTTTTAGACATATTAATGTAAATTGTTCTGTAGACAATTAACAATTACTCCACGTCATATAATATTGTTTTAAAACGACATTAATTGTATAAAAATAATTTAATAAATAAAATAACTTAGTAACAAAATAAATTATTAAATGCTAAAATTACAATATAAATAAATAGTTTCTTTGAATAACAGAATTTGGAGTGTTTCAAATTAAATAAATTATATTACTATGTTTTTGAGCAAATCGAAGTCTTTGCGTTTTTAGATAAAAAAAAAATTCTTAGTCCTAGTGACTGAATGGCTATAAATTTAACTTAAAATAAGCTTATGCTGTAACAGAATTGTTGAAAAACTATTTTGCATATTGCAGTTATGTTTTATTGACATAAAACGATATAAGCTTTTATTTTAAATTAAAAAGTACAAAATACTTAGATTATGCTCTACACCGCAAATATTTGTCCATTGGACTTATCTCCTTCAACAGTATTTAAAACAGACAAATCTCGTTATTATTACTAAAATAACATAAAAATTCAATATAGGTACGAGTAAATGCGACGTAAAATTTTTTTTAAAATCTTATACAAATTTACGAGCAATCGCTTAACAAAATATAAGGAAACACTTTTTTTAACCTTATGAAATTAGTTTTATTTTATTTTAGGTTCAGTAAAAATAAACAAGTTTTGCGACATTTCAAAACTTTCCAAACGCCATCTATCTTTTTTCAATAGCAATTTAAGCTAAAGATAAGTAAACACACCAAGAGATGGCGTTAGAACAGCATGATATTACAACATTTCGAAACGTGTGGGGTTATAGTTTTATTCTAACATGCAACTGTGCTTATTTATTTCTAAGACCATCAACCACAATTGAACTTGTTGATGATGAAGTAATAAAATATAATTCCATCAATTCAGCAAACAGCCTACACACGCACCGCTTATCAAGGCCCCGATCTCCACATATTTCTGGGGTCTTTTTGTTTTTATTGATATCAATTAAGAACATATTTCATGATGGCTACTAACTATGTTTGGCTGTAGCTGTCTCATATAAATTCTTAAATTTTTATCAATCAATATCAATTATATTAATATCAATATACACTTTTACATTAAATGATTAAAGTTAAATCAAATAGTACCTCTACCCTATCTACCTTATTTATGAAAACATTCCCAAATATAAAAATAAAAAGTCATTACAATTGACGTTTTATATATTTGTTAATTATAAAATGCTAATTAGGTAAATACAACCCCATTGTCAATATGATTCATGTACATATACATATTTTGATTTAATATACAAATTATATTTATTTACATTTATAGCATATGACTTTTATAGCACGAGAAAATTAGCGTTTAATCCTTGAACTGAGTAAAAAGATATTTTTAAATTTTTTAAGATTACTTTTTAATTTTGTACAAAATAGACAAGTGATAAAAAACAAAGATATTTTTAAATTTTTTAAGATTACTTTTTAATTTTGTACAAAATAGACAAGTGATAAAAAACAATATACTTCCAGCTTGGTAAAAAAGTATCGATTACCGCCGCTTTTAAAAAGTTTGCTTTTAAATTTAAGAAGATTTTTATTGAGAGATGAATTTCATAAAATGTTAATGAAAAATAAAATGAATCACGTCTATTCTTCCACTTTATCCACCTATTACACCCATTTTTTCCGCACAGTAAAATAGGCATCTCAACTTCTTTAAACTTTCTGATTCTGATTCTGAAACGTAGTAAGTGTACGACACTTAGGCCGGTATCCACAAAAAAATCTTTGGGATACTAAGATTGTCTCTTGAAGCGTGTTTGTAATTCTAAAGCTCGTTGGCTTTGGAATTATTAACGTCCATAAAATCCTTAACTAAAATAATAGTGTCAAAATTTTCTTTATCTTCTTAATTAGGTAATCGGTTCGCTTAGCTATCATAACAAACATAAGTTATTCAACTTTTCCGCCATAAAGGAATAAGAGGTACCCAAATAATTCTACTTTTGGGTTATTTTTTATTATAATCTATGTTGCAATGAGGATATAGAGCAACGCAATCCCTTTCTTCTTGCCCGTCTCTAGCAGCTTGAACATATCTATAATATCGGAGCGCCATCTTGCTGTCAGCTGGCGGTACTAGCTCACTGGAATCTCTGAAAGACAAAACCATTAAAGTTAAGTAGATGAAGACGAAATTTTCAAGCAAGCCTTAGATTCTATTTTAGATACTTATTGGTAGGTATTCATTATTCAATCTACTTTTACATAGTGCACTTTAAAATTATTGTAATAGTATATCTAATGATTTATAATATCCTTTACTACTCAGCGTATAAGGAATTATTAATTGGGTATTACGAATATTTACATTACCTGCACAGGGTATACAAAATCATTTAAAATTAATAACTACATGCTAATTTTGGTTAAAATTACTGAAAAGTAACAAAACAAAAAAGAAACAAACAAAAATGTATAAAGTAATTTGGTAAAACCCTGCAAAACCTTATTTAAACATTTTGAATAGAGAAGTATTTTAGTCAAACTAATAATTAGCGTTTTAATTAAAATTACGTTAGATTTAACAATAAATAATGTAACCTAACTAAATACTTATATAATTAAATAAACTAATTTAAACTACAGGTACATAATAATCAATATGAGAAAGTAGCATATCACACTTAGGATGACTGACTTACAAAAAGTTTTGGAGGAATTAATGTTGGTGTCAATTAAGTGACTGACTTTATTACATATTTTACATTAAACGAAGGATATTACAGTTATTGGCACCGAAGACTGTTGAGACTGTTGTGAAGACCTGAAGACAGGTGCGTTGAAGGCATGATCGGAGTAATAGCAGTACGTGGATATCTGCGTGGTACTCGGAAATTAATTGTACTTAGTAAACTGGGACGGTCTAACTTATTTATCACTAATTTATATAAAAAAATTCTTTTAGTACACCACCGTTTTATAACCTTTTTCTGAGTATGATAGATGTCACATAAATATTTTCTGTACACGTTCTAGTCTTAAGTAGTGGATAGAAGAAGTGTCTGCGGACAAGGTTGTCGTAAAGACAGATTTTTACTTTAGCTTGTGTAAAAGTAGTAGAATAATAAAACCTAACAATATTGAAGCTTTGTTTATGACAAGTTCTATGTGGTAAAGATAAGTCAATTTTCTATCAAGCATAACACAAGTTTCTTATGAGCAAACTTCCTTAAGGCTATTACCATAAAATTTATATCTTGTTGGGACAGTGTTTTTTTTAATAAATTTAGTACGTATATTTCATACGTGGTAGAGCCACGCTGCAACTATATTATGGTTGTAGCATGAATGGGTCGGCTCGATCGGGGAAGGACCACCCTCGCACAGAATACCAGCGTAAAATAGCAGCTTAATACAGCTGTGTTTCGTATAGTGAGTGTAAAGATCCGGAGACCCTTTTTTACTTGAAACGAGGCATTCCATCTTAGTCCTCAGGGGTGACAATGCATCTGTCAAGAATCAAAATGATTCTTTAATCGAGGATAAATGTAGATGTCTACGGGCCACAGCATCTACTTACCATCAGGTGGACTGTGTGATCGTTTGTCACCCGTATTCTATAAAAAATGTAGACGTTTACTTCAGATGAGCTGCATGCCAGTAGATCCAAACCAATTGGTGAGTTAATTTAAATCGTTCCGTAACAGAATCGAATCACTTGGTGAACAAACTGTTCTCGTTATCTTCAAATTGTCGGCATATAAGTATGGTGCGGAGTGTTCAAAACAAGAAACAACGTCGTTCATAAATATATCAAGCAAAATCGGGCCAAAATGTAAACCCTGAGGTATACCTGACGTTACCAAATTAGTTGAAAAGCTAAAATTATTAACTACTACATAAAAAGAACGGTCAAGTAAGATTGGTGAAAGCCATTTAAGCACCGGGCATGCCAACCCATAATACAATTTTTTTTCAATAAGTATTCCGTGTGGAACTTTGTTAAATGCCTTTTTAAAGTCAGTATATAGGGTGAAGGCTACACTATTTTTATATTATGGAAACACAACAACTTAGAAATGGCTGATAAGGCTGGCTATGAAAAAAGCTGTAATATATTTAGTTAATCTTTAGAGCTTTGTAATAGTTAATATTATTGTCTAACATTCCTAGATAATAAATAATAATGTTATACAAACTGAGAATTTAATTATGCCCAAACTTGCCCAAATTTTCTTTGCATTTACATTATAAAATTGTAAACAAAAAAAGAGAAAGCCAAAAATTAATCATTTAAATACTAAGAAATTACGTTCATTCAAGAAACACATTAAGTAAGGTATCTTTCAACTACTGGGCACAAATCAACAGGTGCGAAATGAAAGTGAACGCTTGGGTCATTGGAACATTTCTACCGGACCCATCTAATTTCGGTAGCTTTCCATTTTCTTTTGAATCAAATTAAATCATAATCTTAGTTTGATCTAATTACGCAAAGAATGAAAAGATAATTTGTGATTTCTTCCGGAATCCTAAATAAGAAACAGTAAAAACTTTCTTCATATTTAGTTAACCATAACCATAACCATTCACGCCTGTTACCCAGAAGAGTAAGCAGAGACTACGGACATCTATTTGGCACGATACTGATACACCCCTCGCGCATCCTTTATATTATTGAGTTAAGTCTTTTCAAAAAGAAAAATAAGCTTTTAAAGTTTTTCGATACAAGGTTATTCTTGATAAGTGTTCTGACTTCAAATGCAACGAACTCTTACATATTTTAAAACCCTTTTATAAATGAAGTGTTATACGAGTTGTTTGTTCCATTATCCTTTACACTTTTTATCACTGAATATTCACGAATATAATAAAACTTAGAATGTGCAGACAAAATATTAAAGATTAGAAAGAAATCCACTCATTTTCGTAGAAAAAACTGAAATCACTGATGTATGAACTCCATATAAAGTAAAAGTATTTGCAGCCAATTTTCTAATAATTTGCCAACATAATACAATAGTAGTTGTGATACAAGAAATTACATTGTCTCATTTCATAAAGCTTGTCAAAGATAGTAGCAATTTATGGTCAAATACTGCAACGGACTAGTTACTGTTACTAAGTGAAATAAGTATTGTGATGAACGTTGACGTTTAATATTAAGTACAATATAACGCAATAAAATTTACCTTTACATGCTACTAGAATAAAGTGCATAGTATCAATTAATTAAAATAAACTTGAGGAGAAATTTTACCGAAATATATCAGTATTTATCCCCGAGTAGTGGGGGTCTACGGACATTGGTATATTTTCCCGTGGGCTTAGTAAGAAGGAACAGTGGGAAACTGAACGAGGATTTGGACAGTATCATCTTCCTGGCAACTGAATAAAAATAAAATACTGCGGTAGCCAACCCCCTTTTGTCAGCGTGGCAACTATGGCATATACCACTCTATGAGGCTCTAGGAGGCCTATCTTCTGCAGTGGACTGATAGACTGTAGCAGTAATGGTAAATATATTTATAATAAGTGTCGTACGTATAAAAGCAGTACGCATCACCCACGAAGAGCAACCGTATCGAATCCAAAGTGGTGGTGGAAAAGTGGTCTTTGCAGAAAGTTCAAATGAGAATTAATTTAAAAACAAACGGCATTTACTTTTGAGTGAGAATTTGTAAGAAAAGGTAGTAAGAATATTTCTACAGTAGAACTAGGGTAACTGAAAGAGCTCAACAGATCAGGAAGCTAAAGAGGCAGTAGCTGACTATAAAATATTTACACGTGTCGCGCAGAACTAACAATCTTTTAGAAAGAAACATTCGTGGCAGCATCAGAATACATTTGTTTCTAAAGATATAGTTCAAAGCAATTTGATACTCACTTGCTAAGCTCATTAGAAACTAGATTACTGTACGGTGAATGCTTGAAGGGATCTTTGTATAATGCACATACAGCTCGTTCCTTACATCCAACACCCGATGCACCTATTGGAACCAATATTGCATCCACCTTCTCTAATAGAGCACCGTAGAATTTCTCCGCAGCTATAGTATCCTAAAAATATGATTAAGTTAATACATGTGGGTGTGTGCTATTCTTTTCGTATAATTGCACAACAAGCAAAAGAAATTTTGGTCATTAACACACTTGTTCTGTGAATTAGATAGATCGGCTATCTTAACATCATACTTTGTTGCTCAAATAATATCATTATTTGTATCATCGTTGGGTGCCCGAGTTTGCTACTTTATTAAAAGAGGAATCGTCTTAGCTAAGCGAAACGAATGAGAAGCTTTGTTAGTTATAAATTCGGTAATGTTATGTTTACTTTGAATTTACGGTTTATCATGGGCGGCGGTAGTCACTTAACATCAGGTGAGCCGCATGCTCGTTTGCCCCCTCTTCTATAAAAAAAATTATAATTCTGCTGTACCACAGTGGGTGTCATAAGAGATGACAGAATAAAGTGAAATAGGAGATATCATTATAGGTTGTATGGTAGATATTTTATAGTTCGTATAGCTACACTATAGGAAAAGACCACACTCTCACAGCCAACGTAAATTAGCAGTTTAATGCTGCTGTGTTTCTTATTGCATTGGCTTGCAGCATTTTTTACTTTTAGAAATGAACATATTATGTTATTGTATGGTCTAATCTATAAATAGCTCCTAAGTGAAATAAACTTTAAGACTTCACGTCGTCTGCACCGCCAGTCGACTGTGAAGTAGGAGCCTTTAAAAAAAAAATAACGCCAACTGGCGCTTTCTTGAAAACGTCTATGACCGGCAATAGATTTAAATAGGCTCTAGAAAGACTAAAGAAGAAGTAAAACAAAAAGGTAGTTTTCTGATAATTGGGTATAATTTAACCTACAGTAAAGATGTCTCTAGTATTCACAAAAGTCAGTCTGTTAACAGGTTGGATTATAAACATTGGCTATGCTCTTTTGTTATAAAACCCTATTTAAGTTATACCTTTATCTTATAAAATTATACCAATGTTGTTGAAGTGTGAAGTAACTCACAGGATCTTGTGCTGCGAGGATTTCCTGCTGTTGCCGCACTAATTCCGTTTCCGCTTTAACTCGATTGGTTTCAGTCAGTTTAGCTTGTGATACTCGTATTATCTCATCTCTGACGGGTGATGCAGGGGCTCGAGCTGCCAGAGATGCTGCGCGGATCTGTAAAATAATTATAGGAAATTGATCGGGTAAACCTTTTCAGTGGTTATTAGTAAACTGGATTTCACATGACCTCAAAAAGTCTTTTATATTGGGTCCTTACTTAAATTTTCAGAACGAAATCGCTGAATCCAAAAACATAGCGTGCTTTCTTTTGCGACACCAGTGCCGTACATATAATTCATAGATTACTGTATATATACTAGAGAATATAATTAATCCTTTGAGCTGTTTCTGCAGCACTGGTGCCACAGTAGAACTCGTACCCGTAAACATACCGATATTTTATGTTTTCCATTGTGCGGGAATAAGAGACGTCAAAGAAAGAAATAATGGGGAAAAAACAAATGAATGACTGTTTTCAAAACTCAAATGTACCAGCTAAATGAATTCATAAATTTGAATTTGGAATACTTAACCAAAGAGGAGATATTTCAGATCAAAGTGGTCAGTACGACAAAACGCCAATTTCATATGGAAGGACCTATTATATCTTTATCAAACAATTTTCGTGTCGATGCTTTCGTTTCGACGTTGAGTCGAGAAAGTGAAAAATTATTCCTTTTTAATGTTTATAAAATATATTGTCAGGAGACACCTGACCAACGACCTTAACTAATTCATTTGTTGAGTTACGTACAATTTCCCAGAAACTGGCCGTTCTACAACGTAACACTGCGTAAAAGTCTGGGACGGCAGCCTCTGCGAACATTGTGGACGCACTGCAGTACCGTGGATTTTTCAAAAAAATACGAAAAGCATCATTATACTGTACTCTGAGGCATGTTATAGGATTTTTTGGTGTAATTTATCCAAAGTTGTCCGGTGTAAAAGCTAATACAATAGGCTTTAAACAGAGTAATCTTAACATCCTCAGAACACGAGGCAAAGCGACGCGCCAGCATGTTACAACGTATAGCAAGAGCTCTACGTTCACGCTCAATATCCAAGTCGTCACTCAGGTTCTCCGACAACATATGACCCAAGTACCTGAAATTCTTCACAGTCCGAACCTGCACACCATTTATGCTTACTGGCGGTACTCTCCCCGGACCCTTTGCAGCACGAAAGTCTGTCTTAGACTCATTATATTTTAATCCATACTGACGAGCATAATTTTCGCAGATGAATATAAGCTTTCTAAGACCGTTGATCGATGGGCTAAGGAGCACTATATCGTCTGCGTAGCTAAGGTTGTTAAACGCTACACCATTAATAATACATATCCAATGTGACATCCAATTTTGGTACTCCTAAGCTCCTCGATCAAGGCGTTAACATAAAGATTGAAAAGGTCCGCAGAGGTCAGCCCTCCCTGACGTACCCCACATTCTAGTTTATAGCTACTAGAAGTTGTGTCGTCCCACCTAACTTTATTTGTCTGGTTCTCATACCAGTATCTCAGCAAACCCAGAACAGTGCCAGGTACATTAGACTCATGCATTTTCCTCCATAATATATTATAATTAACAAGGTCAAATGCACGACTCAAGTCCAGAAAGCAGGCGTGAACAAATGTACTACGTCTTTTATAATAGTTTACAACGTGCTTAACGGACAGTATTGCAGAGTCGGCAGAAACACCGGCACGAAAACCAAACTGAGCATCACTTATCCTAATTCCTATTAAACGGTACAGAAAACGAGGATTTCTATGTATTCTTCGAAAGAAATTCGAAAGTAAGTTAAATGTTGAAAATATAAATAGAAATCTATCGCTTAAACTAAATACGTTCCGACGTTGCGTGTAATTGACGAGATGAATAATCTAATCTTTATATCGTTTAAATAAGTAAAAACATTGTAAACTAAATCTATCTTAAGAAAGTTGCGTGTTTAGAAGAGAGTAACTACGCCAATAATAATTATGTCGTAGGCCAGGTGAACTCGTATTCCCCGGTGAACACACATTCCCCACAGTTTTTTTTTTTCAATTTTTATCCGAATAAACGTCCGGAGTGAACGCGGCGTTATCTCGTTAATTTAAACAACGAATAGCTGCAAGTTCCACATATTTGAACGGAAGACACCAAAGTGACTCGTGAGTCGGTAGAGAATGCTTCAGGCATTAAATCCGCCTATACATTATGATGTATGATGTTTAAATAAATAAATAAAATGGATATAGCAGTATTTTTCAGTTCGTTACATAAATGTGAATCAATGCATTCTACGAAACCTGAAAAATTATTCAGAAAGCTGCAAAACGAAAAAAATTCCCTATTAATGAACTCGTACTGTTGTATTTTTGCCAGAGTCAAGTTATAAGAATTTATTCTTTAGCCGTGGTAGCTCAGATGGTTAGCGCTCTCTGTGTATTTCACATTACGCGAGCAAACCAGGTTCGATCCCCGTCGGCACCAATGAAAACGCTCCCGGCTCGGTGGTGAAGGAAAAAATCGTGAGGAAACCGGCATGTCTGAGAAATAAAAAAATATTTCGAAGATATATGAAGTTCGCTAACAAGCACTGGGGCAGCGCGGCAGACAAAACCTTGCCCTAAAACCCTCCCAGAAATGAGTGGAGGCCTGTACCAGGAGTGGGACCTATATAGGCTATAACTTTAACTTTTCGACTTTTATTTTTTAATAGCTTTTTACTCACGGCTTTACTCGCGTGGGCTTCAATTTCGAAACATCATTAATACTAATCTACGCCAAAATTAGCAAAATTGGATCACTTGTAGAGTTACCTCGGTATCATTGTCTATATTGGACGTAAATAATCGAAAATTTAACAATATAATATGCTATAGAAACCCATTTGTGGGTTTATCAGAATTGCATTAATATCACCCGTCAGCAACACTTTTTATGTCGGGAATTTCTTGCGATATATCTTTATGAAGGGTAAATTGTCCTGGAATCAGAAAAGCGTCATTTAAATTTATTCATAATCATCAAAGTTGATATTATAGTTTTGACAAAATAATGTTGAATTTCGTGTTTTAATAGACGGCATAAAATTTATTTGTGATATTTGACCATTGGCCCCATTGAGTACTGATTGGCGCCATAAAATGGATGCTGGTATATTTTTACATTCGAGTAGATTTCAAAGTTTCATAAATGTAGTTCTCTTCACGATGAACGTGTGAGAGGAACTATGTTCATGAACGGGAGTAGAAATACAAAAAATATGGACAGCAGAGTCTTTCTGAATACAGCTCAATACAAAAAAAGATGCAGCTGGCAACCCGCCTGCCGAGCGTGGCAACAACGACAAATATCCAACTTATGTAGCAATTTATAGGGGGAATCGAAATAATGAACGAGAATAGAAATAAATTAGTCATTAAGAGGCAGCGAGGGAAACTAAAACTGAAGATAAATGGCAGCATCTTCCTGATAACAGCGCAAAGTAAAAAAGCTGCGGTTGCCAAAACGCTTGCCAAGCGTGAAGCTACTACTGCAAATATCCGGCTTATTTGACAAACAATGGGAGAAGCCTATGGTCAGAAGTGGATAGCCATATTAAAAGTAAAAAAGTAGCAGCCTACATACATCCTATTACTGAGTACAGGCCGCAGCAAGTTTTAGGACAAAAAGAGTTGATTGAGTTGACTCCATCGCGGGATGACAGATTTCACTTATAGGTACCTAACAATAATTTCCAAAATGCCTTTTAACTTCTTGTACAAAGTTTGTGTTGCTTATTTACTATGAAATGTTACGTTTGAATCGGTTCGATTCAAGTTGGTGAAATATTGCTATGCTGACGCTGATATACACACCCAACACATTCAACTAAAGACCTTCCCACACTTTTGTGTACAGTTTTATCAGTCATTTTGCTGAAAATAGCAATTACTATAAAACATTCTGAAAGGGGAATCGGGTCTGGATATTTTAAATCTGACAATTTTTGATCCTGCAAGAATAAGTATTCTATAAAATTCTCCTTATTTCATCAGTTATTTATTATTAGTTTATTGAACACAAAGTAGATGGCGTTATTAAGAGATTAAAACTATGAAAACCAAAACTGTACCCTCTAGTACTCAGTGACAATAAATTAAGGTGCCAACATATTATAATACATAAATTAGGCATAAAGTGATGTAGATTCTATAAAAAATTCGGCTTCTGTCAAAATACGGTAATAGTGGTGTATAATGAAATTATTTCACGATATATTAATATGAATAAATACCAATGTTGTGTTTAGTTGTTAATAGAGCCAATCAATCTCTATTCACTGATTTGGTCAAGCTATATCATGATATAGTTAAAAAACAGAGTTAAATTTAATTAAATGACACAATTTGAACACAATGATCGACTACTTTACGATATTATTAATTCTAAGATCTGGCCAATACCTACACATTTAAAAATCTATTTATATAAAAATTTTCATTAATTACAGTTTTAATTTGTTGTTTATAGATTTATACATAAATAACTAATACGTACGCAAACCTTTTTTATAGATTACAAATTAAACTCGTTAGATGTCACTATTATTTATTCAAGTAGAAATAGTTGCTATAAAATTTATAAATTCCCACTAAAATAAAATAACGTAAATTATTTAAACATATAAATGTAAGTTATTTATTTTATTTTATTTATTAGTACTTGGAGGTAAAATGTTACTACTTTTTGTATTTCACGCTAGATGGCACTGTTTGGTAAAAGGTAGATGGTCGGCGTAGTTAAAATTATTACGTAACGGTTAAAACTAATTTCAGTCTTTTTAAGGTTTTTTTTATAAATATATTAATTATTTGAAAACCCATCAATCATTTAAAATAGTAATTAACATCTAAAGCAAGAAAAATACTTAACCCTCTTTTTTTGGAGTTCCGTTATCGGAAAAAAAGCCTATATGCTGCCCAAATTTCCTAACTACCTACACACAAAATTTCATGGAAATCTGTCCAGTAGTTTTTGCGTGAATCCTGAATACACAGACAGACAGGCCGCCGATGGAGTCCTCCACGACAGTTTGGCTCCTATTCTTAAATAATTCATGTAATTCAAATATGTATTTTATTTACGCGAAGACACACACAGAATTATTTTATTTTAATATAATAAATTCTTTCATATCTTTGCGGACATCAATTATATTAAAGACTAGCGGGTTTACGGCGCGTTGCTGCCGCAGAAGAAATAATGGTGCAAATATCGTTTTAAATTTGGAAGAGTTATATTGTTTAATTAGGAATTCAACAACATAACTCTTAAAACGTTCATTGAAGTTTTTTTTTATTGTACAAGGGTGATAAACGAGCACACAGTCCACCTGATGGTAAGTGGTTGCTGTGGCCCATAGACATATACATCTTTCCTCGATTACGAATCAAAATGCTGATGCATTGTCACCCGTCAGGACTAAGATAGGATGCCTCAATTCCAGTAAAAGGTTGACAAAACAGCTGCACCAAGACACTTAAGTTAATGGTACTATGCCTACAACCGTCGAGTAAGTGCAAGCAATAAGTTGACAAAGTTTAGCGTAATGTGATGCACGGTATGGCAGCTCATAAAATAGGAACAAAGAAATATTACTTTTTATATATTAGATATTAAAATTGATTACAATACATATTTTTTATAAAATTATACTTACTAGTGCTTCTTTCTCTGGGTCTCTCGCTGTTGCTTTCTTATTTCTGTAGTAAGGGTTTGGAGGTCCAACCGGCCTTTAAAATAAGGAAAAACTTTAAGACGGATCCTTCATTTCATTTAACTCAATAATAGAGCAAAATATAATATCTTGAAGTGTGGGATATTGATGGTTCTCAACTGACATTAAAATGAGAATGAATCTATCAAAAGTATATTGCTAAAGTACCAAATGCAATGCAATCTATGGGGAAGGGGTAATTTTTTATAGAATAAATTTGATAACCGAGCACACAATCAAACTGATGGTAAGTGGATGCTGTGGCTCAAAAATATACGTCATCAAATGCATGGCCTAAGACGAAATGGATCATTTTTAGTAAAAAGTATCTCCGGTATTTTACGCTCAACATACGAACAAAGCAGCATAGAGCTGATATTTTAAGCTGGTATTCTACGAAAGCGTGGGTCTTCACCGGTCGAGCCGACCCATTCGTGCTTCAACCATAATATAGCTGTAGCATGGCTCTACTACGTGTAAAAATTGTAAACAATATTAAAATATTTATATAAAACAAGTTTTTACGGATTTTATTGCGTATATTAACTTATTTTATATTATAATGATTTCTTATATTTACGCGAACACTATACATTGATTAAAACTACTTTTACGTATTTTATCGCGTTTTATTTTAATTATTTTTTATTCCCTACGTTTCCGGTGCTTTCCAGCACCCATGGTCACGGCGGACTGAGGTGACTGACGTCCCAATGTTATTGTTAAACCTGAAGTACCTTCAGTTTTTTTAATTATTGTTTATGGTCCGATCTATGCAAAATGAACTGACCGTGTCTTAAAGTCTTGCAGTGGTTTGTTTGGGTTTAGTTTTAATTTTATTGATTATAGGGTCCCAAACCGATGGTAGTACCCAGCCTCCTTCTCTATTGAAATTAGGATGTTTTTTTAATTTCAATAGCCTCACGTACCTATCATCCTTAGTAGGAATCGGTGTTCTTTCGCGAGGATTTGTGGTCTATCAAATCGGATGTAATGGTCGAGGCCGTTTAGGATATGATTACAAACTGCAGACTTCCTGGAAAGTATTTTATATTCTCGACGTTTCGAGTATTTTGCAGCACCCGTGGTCACGGGGCTAGTTTTGTTTAAATGTGTAGTATTCGCGTACATATAAGAAATCAATATTAAAATATATTTTTTTACAAATTATTTCACTAAGGATATAATTGTTTCAAATATATTACTACACCGTTGTTTAAAAGCATCCATTTGTTTAATTGTACAATTGTCGTCGATATTTACTCCGTACACAAAAAATATTTTCATACAATACTTGATACTACGATGAAACTACCATGATAACTATGAACGTCATAATACGGCAACGGATTAGACCTATTGCTGTTTAAATTGTAAAAAATTTGGATACCCTCTCGTCCTATCTTCGAGATTATACACATAGTAATACTTACAGTATATCATTACGTTAAAGCCCAATGCATAAGTAAGAGAAAAGAAAACAAAACGTTTATTACGCTGGTAAACACTTTTAAATTTAATTAGGCGATTTAAGTGCTAATTATAATTTAGTTCAGTTGATCTGATCAGATAAATTTGAAGGTGACTCGTTCAGACTATGAAGTGTAGTAGTGTCTATTTAGTTATTCATAAAGCCCCCATACACGGAATATCATCATCATCATCATTACAGCCCTTCACAAGTCCACTGCTGAACATAGGCCTCCCCCAAGTAACGCCAAAAAGCACGTCTGAGCCACCTGCATCCATTGACTTCATCGTCACTCCATCTAGTGGGGGTCGCCCTACACTAAATAGTTACACGGAATAGTTTTATGGCAATTTCTAGCTACAATTATATAGCCACCTAGTTGCAGTCCATATCGCGCAACGCTGTGCAATATTGCTTAGCCTATTATCCTCAATGTTTCTTCTTAATTACCTGCGATACAGATTTTTATAGAATAAGTGTGACAAACGAGCGCACGCTCCACTTAGTAAGTGGGTGCCGTGGTCCATAGATTAGACATATGTAGGTACAACTATCCTTGATTAATAATCAAAATGCAGATGCGTTGTCATCCCTGGGGATTAAGATGGAATGTAGTAAAAATGGATCTCCAGTTCTCTACACTCACCATACGAAAAACAGCAAAATAAAGCTGCTAACTTACGCCGGCATTCTGTGTGAGTGTAGTCTTTCCCGTTCGAGGCGATCCACTCGAGCTACAACCATATTATAGCTGAAGCGTCGTTATACTACTCAAAACAATCATTGACGGAATATACTCTGTAAATAGTTGCATAATAAAATTGCAACAAAAGTATTATAGCTGGCAATATTACGAAGACATAGTCTTCAGCAAGATTTCCAGCAAAATGCAGTTTTTATATCCAAGCGCAAGCCAAAATAAGCCCTTTTATAATCATCACACGACATATTTATGAAATTGTTATGCGTGACTAAAACAATTTGATAAATAAACTTTAACGATAGTAAAACTTTGTCAGTTCCTCCAGTTTTAAAATAAGTAGCATTTCTGTTTTACTATATTTTTATTAATACCTATAATTATTAGCCGTCTATTTTTTATCAACTAAATCGTGCTCTCGCCCTAAAATGTTGTAACAATGGACAATTTCCACATTCAACAAAAGTGTATTCATAACAATTACACTTGCACGCAATGTCTTAAGGTACATTACATTACATTACATATACACTAGGTTGATTTAATGGTAACGGAACTATGGTTTGATTTATTTTAACAGACGGCAATACATGTCATGACACCACAAACCACCGAGAGGTATTTTAAAAATAAATGGTCTTTGATTATATTAAATCTAAATATCGCTACATGATTTTGTCCAGGCGAAGCCAAGGTAGGTGTATATGAATAATAATTTAATAATAGTTTGTTTTGTTTAAAATTACCTTCCCGAGCTGCCTGCTGATAACTGATGTCCAGGATTAGGCGCGGGAATCACGTTAGGTACGATATTGTTACTGCTTGCGTATTCACCGACGTTTAGCGATTGACCTGGAACAAAGTTTCTTTTATCAGTTTGTTTTTAATAAAAACTCTTAATAATATCATTGTCGATCAATTTCTTGACCTAAACCCCTCTAAGAAATGATATAATGAGTAAGATGTATATAGGTTGCAACTTTCATACCTTCATGCAACTAACATAAAATTTTAGCATTGCATTGATCCAACTGATAGCTGATGGAAAAGGAGTAGTAGATATTGTTTAGCTTGAATGTTGAAATAAATCAATAGATTATAAACTATTGTCAGTATATATAAATAAAATTAAATTCAATGGAACCAAGACTTTGTTTTAACTTACCAAAAAAAAGCTATAAATTTTTACCTGGTGGAAGTCCAAGGCCCCAAGCGTTGATGTCGTTGATGTCGTTTGCATGGGGCTTAAAGCCAGCTATGGCATTGCGATGTATATCCGATCCTATATACCTGAAAATAAAATTTCATTTATTCAAAATTAAAGACGACACAAGTTTCCAAATCCTATACCTTTAAACGAGCAATTCTTGTATACAACATGTAACAAAAACCCTGTGGTTCCTGTTAACTGCGTTATCAGAATCAGTATCCAAGCATATAGAAATATTTTTTTTTTCAAAAAAACACATTTAAAATATTTTAATGAAAAAAAAATAATTTGCAAATTGTATGTGGTTTTATTATATCTGCATTGGCCGAGGAGTAAGAGGATTGTCAAAGAGGAAATATAACCACATACAATTTGAAAAAAAAAATTTTTTTCAGTAAAATTATTTTTTTTAAATGCGTTTTTTTTGAAAATAAAAATATTTCTTTAAGTCCAAGCTTAACTCTTGACAAGCTTAGCTCTAACTCACACGAGTATTGGTAATGCGGGGGCATTACCAATACTCGTGTGAGTTAGAGGAAATATAACCACATACAATTTGCAAATAATTTTTTTTTTGAGTAAAATTATTTTTTTAAATGCGTTTTTTTGAAAATAAAAATATTTCTTTAAGCTTGGATACTGATTCTGATAGCACACTTAACGGGAACCACAGGGTTTTTGTTACATGTTGTATATATATATATATATATATATATATATATATATATATATATATATATATATATATATAATCGGAATCTCGGAAACGGCTCCAACGATTTTCATAAAATTTAGTGTCAGGGAGTTTCGGGGGCAATAAATCGATCTAGCTAGGATTTATTTTAGGTAATGAAAAACTGCTATAATATCGTTAGAATAAGAAGGTAAATTTTGACAGTTTATTAATGATTACAAATACCATGGTTCAAGGCCAGACCGACCGACCGACTTTTTTAAATTTTTTTTCAAGTTCCATTCTTTTTTGAGAAAATCTATTTTTTTCGAGCCCTTTTTTTAGTATTTTTTTAAAAACACGAAAATTTAAATTAAATTAATTGCACTCATGATTTTTTATTCAAATAACCAGTTCAGTTTTTTCTATTATGTCGCTAAGATCAAAAAATATTATTTGTATTTCATCAGTATGTAATTTGTATCTAAATATAATTTCCAAGTGTTTCCAAAACACACGAATTAAAAAAACCGAGCGAAAAATACCGAGCAAAGCTCGGTCAACCAGGTACTAATTATTAAATTAACAGTAGTATAGATACATATATATACAAGTTTCCAAATAATTTATAAATCTAACAGTATTAGAGCTTTCGCTGTTGCACGTATGGGGCGGCTGGAACGGGGTGGTACCATGACCCCACAGAAGACCGACGTGAACTGGAAGCTCTGTTTCTGCATTTCTCATAGGTCTCATAGCGGTAAAGCCGACACAGACTGACACATCAATTACATCCAAATGGCTGCAGATTCCATGCTACAACTGGTGCCATCCGCAGAGATCGCGATGCTTAGTAATTTTAACGCCCATCACACTGTTGAATGATTTGATTCGAGTTAAACCGATCATGCGGGTTGATTTATTTATGACTTTCTTTTGGCATATGGTCCGACACAACTGATTACCTCGCCTACGCGGATCTCAGATGTATTTTGTATCATGTACCTTTCTTGTTGGACCTTCTACTGACCTTTCATCCGGACGGATATCAGGTCTCCGTCGATGCCTCATTGCCCCGGACCATTGTCTGATACGGAGTACGGTGGAACTCACGCTCCCATTGCGGTTGCGTTCTGCAGGTTGCCGTCTTGTTTGGCACTATAGGTCAGCCGATTGGGACGGGATGCGATCTTTTTCTGCATCCTACCCTTTGGTTTGATTCTCGCCGGATGAACCCAGCGTTGTTGCTTATTCTGTCGCTTATGTGGTGCTACAGGAAAAGGAACTTCTTATTCCATCACCTGTGGTACCTATCGGAGGCAGAACCCAGCCATGGTTTGGTCGCTCCTGCAAAATTACATCACGCCATAAGCAGAAGTGCTACCGGGCATGGGCTGACGCATTGACGTCTCGGGATGCAAATACCAGCACTCTTAAAAAGAAGTATAATTCCGCCTCGAGGTCCTTCAAAGCATCATTGCCAAGGCAAAGTCAAAGCACATCAGCAGAATTGTCGAGAAACTAGTTCGACTTCCTTCGGGAACAAGTACATTTTGGTCTCTCGCCAAGACTGTCCAAGAGAACTTCTGTGAACCATCTCTCTCTCATCTCTGCACAGGGAGCATGACTCACTGCTCCATGCCGCAAAGGACAAAGCGTTCTGCTGGGTTCTCTCTATATGTCCAACTCGACTCTTGATAACGGGGAGGACACACCGCCGTACATCCTGCGGTGTGAATGCTCCATGCAGGGTGTGCTGTTTAGCCAGGGCTCAGTGCGCAGAGCACTTTTTCTCTGGACTTCAATAAGTCGAGTGGGTCTGATGGCGTCCCTTCTATTGTGCTGAAGACGTGTGCTCCGGAGTTGGCACCGGTTTTATATAGGCTATCAAAACATATGGAAATATAATATTGATGGGCGACATAAACATCAACTTAATTTCTAGAGATAAAGAAATAACTCAGCAACGAAATAACAGGATGAATTATTTAAATAAGTTAACAGGACTCGGCCTTCTCTCGGGACATTGTTTACCTAACATAGTGCAAAATTGCCTCGATCATGCCCTTCTGAAGATCGATAAAAGTAATTCTTTAGCCTTTGTTGCAGCCCTGAATACATTTATCACAGATCATGCCAGGTGTGGAAATTATGGCAATATCTCCCTTATTTGAGGTGCTTTGTAGTAGCTGTGTAAGAATATTCACCAACCCATATCATCCCGTGGGTGTCGTAAGAGGTGGCAATGGGAAACAAATCAATATGGGCAGTAGCATCTTCCTGATAACAACTATAATAAAAAAACTGCGTTTGACAAGCCGCTCGCCACGCGTGGCAACTATGGTAAAATCCCCCTTATGAGGCAATCTATGTGGGAGGTAAGTGTTCAGCAGTGGACCTATATAGTTATAATGTATGGATATAATGGATAATAATTGTGTAATCTGATGACTTTCTCCGAGGCGAATATCGCGTACGCACAGGCTCGAGCTCAGATGGTTAGTACTCGGATGAGGCATAGTCCCGAACTCACGGAAGACAGATTAATGCCCCGATCCCTAAAAAAGGGGACTGCTGAGAGATTCGACCAAACTACAGGCCAATTGCTACAATTATTAACTGCCAGTTCATGACGTGCCTTAAGGATTACCAGCTGACTGGTGATCGCCAGTACGGTTTCCGTCGGGTCAATCAGCTGATAATCTTCTGCGTTACCTATCCCATAGATGGGCGGAGGCAATAGAGTCTAGGGGGAGGCGTTGGCCATTAGTTTAGATACAACGAAGGCCTTTGATCGGAATTCTCGGGAAGCCATAGGAAGTTTCCTTCCAATTGTGTGGCTTCCTAAACAATGGTGCGATTAGATCACCATTTTTTTCGTAGATCGGAGCATCAAGGTCGTAGTAGACAGTGTATGCTCCGACTACAAGCCCATTAACTGCTTAGGCTGCGTGCTATTGCCAACGCTGTTTCTCTCGCCTGCAACTTTACAAGACACATGTTGCACATGGAATACTGTCCCATGGCACATGGGAAACCCAGCCCAGAGATGGGAACGTATGTGTTTGCATCTAGCGCAGAGCCCTTCAAATCGTCAGTGATAGAGCTCTTTCCGATCGGCTTGACTCACTGGAATTGCGAAGAGATCTCTCTGAGATCTCTTAGGAATTGGTCGGACTAATTCCAGCCGTGCAATTTAACCATCGCACACTGCGAAAAACTCGCGATACCATCCATACCATCTGGATGACTGGCAGTCCACCAATGTGCGATTTAAAAGAATTTTTCTTCCTCGCATAACTTCCGTGTGGAATTAACTACCACCAGGCATTCGTCCGCAACGCACCTGCAATTCCCCTTGTGTTGCAATTGTTCATGGGCGGCGGTAGTCAAATACCTTCAGGTGAGCCGCATGCTTGTTTGCCCCGTCTTCTATAAGAAAATACATTCTCATGAAATGAGAGGTTTATGCGCAGCTGTGTACGTGTATATATGTTAAACCTTTAAACAATCATTTATATCATTTTATTTACATCAGAAATTCAACTCTTCACTGCATTAAAATTGAAGATACATTTCAGATCTTGAGGGTTTGATTATAAATAATTACATTCTAAAATCATACAACGGAGCAATAAAAGCCATGGTAATTCAGGGAATAAGTGTTTGCCGTAGGTAAATTAAACGGTAATAAGCGCACAATACATGTCTATCCGCGCCGGCATCAATGAAATTTCTAATTGTAATTGAAATTTTGAGTGATGGTTTACCAAGTGTTCAAAACCTGCATGGCCGAGTTCTATAGTGTATGGCAATAATTATTAATAAAACACACGACTGTCTGAAGGGAATAGAGTGAATGGGGCACTACACTCTATTGTGAAGAACTAGAATGTATCAAAAAAGGCACGTATGGTAATTCATAATGCTGTGTTAGTCCCTACTTTAATGTATGGTAGTGAAAGCTGGGTGTGCCTGAAGACGCACGAAAGTAGAATAAATGCTGTAGAAATGCGGTCTTTAAGGAGTATGCTAGGGTTGAATCTGAATGACAGGGTGAGAAATTGCGTGATAAGAGATAAATGTGGTATGCAAGATGATGTTGTGACCAAGATTAAGAAAGGAATGCTTCGGTGGTTTGGTCACGTAGAAAGAATGAATGAGGAAAGAGTGACAAAGCAAATTTATATGGCAGATGTAAACGGCAGAGTCGGGAAGGGACGCCCTAAAAAAAAGTTTATCGACCAAATTGGCGATATTTTGAAAATGGGCCACGTTAAAAGTACCCTTAACCGACGAGTATGTATGCGTAGATATATGGATGTAAAGGAGGCAAAAGAGGTATGTCAGGCTCGTGTCAAATGGAAGTCCGCAGTCTCTGCCTACCCGTCTGGGTGACAGGCGTGAGTGTTTATGTATTATGTTATGTATATTTATTAACTGACCACTGAGCACTGAGTAAGTTGGGCGTAAGGTATCACGTGCCCGTATAGGTATAGATATACATTATAGTTACTCATAAAATACATCCTAAGTTCAAAAACATTTTGGATACTAATTTTGCTCCATAACCCTCTCATAAATGAGCGTAGGCCTGTGTCCAGTGAGTGGTGGGACATAAAAATGACTTCTTTCATTTTAATTTATTACTTACGATAAAACAGTGGTAGCCTATGTCTGACATTGTATCCCATTAAATGTACGAACATAAGTTATATGAAACCATCCGATTTCCAATCTTAACTAATACAGCTGCGGTGCGATCGTGCAACTCTGGTGGTGATCGTCGTTGTTCATCTATCAGTGTCAATTATAAGCTGATGTCCTTTTACAAACACATCATCACACTACACGTAATCTTGTTTTTGTAACATCATATTATTATTAATAACAAAACAAAATAGTTGTGAAATGATTACAAATGAAAACGATTTTTTTGATATGATGGTAAGTGGCAGCTTCAAAAAAGATGGCTACACTCGCTTTATCACCCTTCAGGCTAGAATACAGCAGGATACACACTATATTGGGTGGAATTCCCACCAGTTATATGATAGCACTGCAGCATTTAAGTAATATGTACTTATGTACTAGAACAGCTATTTCAAACAAAAAATATGCGCTGCTCATGTATTTGCGCATGCGCAGGGAATAGTGTGCTGGTTAGTTTTTTTTATTATAGATTATACTTAGGTAGAATGACCAATATGTAATAATACATTGCATTGTTAATTATGTAATTTAGCAGTAAGACTCTGGAACTCGCTTCCTACTCACATTCGAGAAATCAAAACAGTGACATTGTTCAAAAAACGAGTGATAGAACATTATTTATCGCTGTCTTCTATGTAAGTCTCAAATCTCTGATATTTACTATACTGTTACAAATATATGCATGTACATATATGTATGTATGTGTGTGTATATTGTATATATAATATACTTTATATATATTAAGTATTTATGTACGTATGTTTATTTAAATATGAATATATTCATGTATTTGTTATATATATATATATATATATATATATATATATATATATATATATATATATATATATATATATATTAGCTGACGTATATACCTATTTATTTTATCCCCATATGAGTTGTATAATAACAAAGTGCACACCTTATAATCATTTATTAATCATATGTGTTTGAAACTGGCCTACTGGAAGAAATTTCATTGTGAGATAAGTAGAGCCTTTGTACAAACTTTTTATCATGATGTGTCCTCTCCCTTACTTGTGTGTACATAAATTGTGAAATAAATAAATAAATAATTTTGAACGAGTACAATTTTTGAAATTTTTCGTTTACTTTGCATTTAATATATACTAATTGAAAATACATACATACTATTATATCACGATTACATTTTAATCATATTTTTATTTGAATATTTTCAAGGTAACAATGTAAAATATAAAAAACGTACTAAATGTATGTTTAACAAAACTTATTAATATAATATTTAATTTACAAATATATTTATTTATATTAGAATAAGACTCATTCATAAATACTGGGCTAGCGAGAGTAAAAATAGACGAAATCATTCTACTTATCCCTGTTTTCAGGGCTTGAACGTGAAAAACCCAAAAATAAAATAAAATAATAACCAGGAAGTATAAATCATGAATTCAGCCTAATTACAAATACTTCTCTTTGTTTCTAATAAAAAAAATTGTGCACAATATTATCGTCCTTTACTTACCCACAGAAACATTGCATCTGAACAAATTAATTTCATAATCTATATTCCATTAGACGAGATAGCGTTCTAGGAATAATTTGTTTGATTGTTAATTTATAATAATTTTTTATTAAGTATCTTACTCACCGATGAAAAGTTATTCCTCGGTACTTGCGAACATTTCTAGAATTATTTGTGCACAATGCACAACAACATAAAAACACACCGTTGCATATCAAGAGATTTTTATGCAATAAACAAAGCACGTGTCAACTCACCAGCGCCCCCTAGCAGGTGAATAGTGCAAGTGTCGCCTCTATTATGTAGTACACTACACTGCACTGCATTCATTTATATGTAACTAATAGCTGGTACCTGGCGCTTTGTTGCCGAAGAGGAAATACTGGTGGAAATATCGTTTTAAATTTGGAACAGTTGTATTGTTTGATTAGGAATGATATATAACATTCAAATAAATTAGCGACACGCGCGTGACCTACCGTAACTTTATTTTATTTTATGCCTATAACCTTCGCACAAGTATAAGCAATAAGTTGACAAAGTTTCAGCGCAATCTGATTATTAGATAGTATGATTCAGGTCTGTTATGTATTTAACTTGCAACATTTAAAAATATATCTTACTCGCTGCCAAGTCCAGGACCAGAGAGCTCCCAGTCTTGATTATTATAATCCAGTGTTTGTTGATGTTCAGCGTGAGGCTTAACAACGACAACAGAGCCCGAATGCGATGGGTGACTATACGCTGGAGCATAAGGTGCCTGCGAAAAAAATATTTATTTGTTTAGAACAAAAATAAAATTATACGTAATCATCATCATCATCATCATTACAGCCCTTCACAAGTTCACTGCTGAACGTTGGGCTCCCCCAAGGAATGCCACACAATCCATGATGCCACATGGATCTGAAACTTAGTCTATCACTGCTGGCTGTACGAGGAAGTTCAAAGTTGCTCAGCGAGCTATGGGAATGCCTATTCTTGGAGTTTCTCTGCGCGATAAACTTCAAAATGGGAATATCCGCAGTAGAAGTAGAGTAACCGACATAGTGCAACGGATTAGTAAGGCTTGAATGGCTGTAGGCAGACCGTATAGCCAGAAGAAGCGATAAACAATGGGAAAGTAGGGTTTTGACTTGCAGCCTTCTATCTACAAGCTAAGGGCCGTCCACAAGATGTAGTGGTGACCTGGTAAAAGATGTAGAAATTGTACATTAAGTATACATAATATTATCAATTGGGTACAACCACGTGTCCCAACAGTAATAATAGTCTATTACCGTAGGTCATTTAAGGGTCTACGGTTCATATAAAAGACGAAGTCAAACATTTAAACGCTAAAAATCACAAGGTGTTGCTTTTTTAACTGAAGTGAAAACAAATTTATAGTTCACCTGTTGGTACGTGGCTACTGAAATACAAGGATACCTGGCCAGCTTCAAAGAAAATATTCTGCAGATGTGTTGTCACCTTCGAGGACTGAGATGGAGTGCCTCGCAGCCTGTAGTTAAATTGACATTCAATAACCTTCAGACCGGACACAGCTGTGAAAGCACTGCTAAAAAGAATAGTTGGATCTGGTTGTCTCGTGGATTCTATGTTTCTAATGTTGCATCCTAGTCTCCCAACATAATGTGGCGATAAGAACGGTTTACTATCACATACGAGGACAAACATTATTAAACAACAATTTTTAAACCAATACTTCAAATATTTGTATTTTACAACAAATGTTTTTTTTTGGGATTCGAACCCAAAGCTTTTAACTAAGTAGTCAGACATTCTCATCGTTAGGTGATATGGTCGACGTATCATTCAACAGATAAATAATTAATTATTCATATCACGTGTAAATTGAAAGAAAGTGTAAATTGAATCGTGAAGTTGGCCAACACAACATAATAATCAGGAATAAAACTTGCATATCAAAGAGTTCGATAAGTATACATACGATTTTTTTTGTAACTGTAATAAATAAATAAACTTTAATTTTTACATTGATAAGTGTTATGCGGGTATATATTGAGAATTTAATTTAATTTATTATAAAGCACTGGACCCAAATAACAGTTATAATTATGGATGAAAAATGTTTTGTACCGGTTTATTTTACGTACTTTATGATTCAGTCTATTTATTGTGAGGCTATGGTCATATTCAAGTTTCAGATGTTGATCTATTACTGTATTCCTTATGAACTGTACTGTGAAAAATTTGATGGAAAAAATCATCCTTATGTGTATTAAATAATTGACATTTTTATTTATCTTTGTCCGCAGAGTTGTAGCGGCGTAAAATAATCCATTGCCACATGATAAGATCACGTACAAGTACAACATACGTACGTACGTCACAAGTATGGGGTGAATATGAACATTCGGAAAGATAGCTTGCGATTGTTTTTATAATAATCTCGTTCCCAGCAAACCTAAAAAGACCAGCGATGGGAAACAGCATTCAATATGCAACATGTTTGGTAGAACGATAGCTTATCCGCCTGCCAAGCTTTGCGACTATGGCAAATTCTCCCTTCAACAGGTAGTCCATTGTCCAGGAGAAGACTTTTATCGGCTAAAGAAGAGCCTTATATTCATATCAGATTTGCATCATTTTTCTTGCTTACTAGCGTTCAAAAGCGGAGAATACCAATTTTACAACAAAAACGACATTTATATAACTAGTAAATGAATAAAAGCATATTCAAGAACTTATATGTGGCAGTGTTTGCTACACACCATACTATTACTTAACAGTAGTCCTTTGGGGTTACAATATTTCGATTCTTTATGAATCATAAATGTCTATGTGATATGTGTCTATGGACCATTATAACCTTTTACCATGGAGTAGACTGCGTGCACGCAGCTTTTAGTTTATTCATTTTATTAAACTTAATACAAAAAAGATAATCCTTTAGAAATCGAAATAGAATTTTATAGAACGAAGTTTATGAAAAAAAAAAAACTATGAACAAGTATGTTGTAAATATAAATTTACTAAAAACATTTTTCTAACTCACCTTATGATGATGATGCGTGATTAAGTGATGATGGTGATGATATTTGGTTGTATGGTAATTCTGGTGATACCACGAGCAAAGTTTAAATATGTGGCTCAAAGCTGGGAACAGGAACAGTAAGAATTTCAGGAACATCTTCTTAGCGGTTGTCACTCCCAGAATCAATGGCAGGACGAATATTAACTTCAAAGCTATCAACTTTACCACCAATATAATTGCTAGGGCAGCCATCACTAGTTTCTTTTTTATGTACTTTTCTGAAACAATCATATAATTGTTTTTTTTTTTAAATTTATTCTTTGAAAAGTGAGCACAAGTAGATACTGACATAACAATATCACCAAATTGTAGAATAGTTTGTTGGCGATATTACACTCAAACTAAAATTTTAAGTTACCACACGCAAACAATAACTACAATTTTATTCTTAAATCCAATTTTTATCGTCTTACGAATTACAAAACTATTATAATAACATATTTATGATAAGGCTTGAGTTGGAGCCTATCCAGATTAAATTGTAACTAATTTTAACGGATTTCATTACGTTTATTTTAGCTTAGTTTATTCTCCATCATGGGACTGTAGCTATTTGACGTCCTAATTTTTAAGTGAAGTCGGGTTTGGCTACTTTCAGATTTTAATTAAATATTTTTAGTCCGATATTCGCAGAATGAGCTCAAAGTTTTTTTAAGTCACCTCACACGTCCATAAGTTAACGCGACAAAATTTTAAAAATTATTTTACTAAAGACGGTATTCACGTAAACATATTATCGATATGCCGACAGCCTTGTGCTAATAGCAGAATATAATCCACCACAGAAATCGTAATATTATTACCATTTCTGTGGAATCCACCACCCTATTTCGTCTAATAGTTATCGGCTTCCGCTAGTTTTTTTCATAGGAATGGGTGACAAACGAGCACACAGCACTCCTGATATTAAGTGGTTGCTGTGGCCCATAGACATCTACATCTATCCTCGATTACGAATCAAAATGCAGATGCGTTGTCACCCGTGAGGACTAAGATGGAATGCCTCGCTTCCAGTAAAAAGGGTCTCCGGTTCTCTATATTCACCATACGAAACACAGCAGCATTAAGCTACGATTTGACGCTGGTATTCTGTGAGAGCGTGGTCCTTCCCCGGTCGAGCCGACCCATTCGTGCTACAACTATACTACCAATATAACTGCAGCAAGGCTAAAAAAGTTACCTCCATAGTAGGATTTTCTCTTACATCGTAGAGACGATTTTTGTTGGCAGTCATACATCCAGTCTTAGGACAATTATTTGTAGGCCATTCAAACTCTTGTTTTGGGTCGGATTCAAACCTACGACCCTGTACCGCCGCGATTAAACGCTTAGCCATAGCGCGATAGAGCCGTCGGTAGGCCGTTGCATCTGGTTTAAAATAGGTAATATAAATAATATAATAACTAATAACTAAATCATTTATGCCAGACGTGAATATACAGCCTGGCAGCGGAAGGTAGCGTCAAATGTGCGAGATGTAGAGTGATAAGTTAAGGTTACAGCCTATATATGTCCCACTGCTGGGCACAGGCCTCCCTTCATTTTTGGAAAGGTTTTAGGGCAACGACATTTCCACTGAGCTGCCCCATTACATGTTGGCGAACTTCATATGTCTCGAAATATTTTTTGTAAAATCATGCTGAACCAATATAAAGGTTGCAGCACTACTTAATCGGCTAGACAGGGTAAGTATCACACTCTCACAGACAATACCAGCATAAAATAGCCACCTAATGCTGCTGTGTTTCGCATAATGATTGTATCGAAGATACTTTTTGAAGTGAAAACTTCTTTAGCGGCTTTCTTTAGCACTTTTTTGTAATGGGTAAAAAATGTTAAACTCGCGTCAGGACACGTGACCCTGATCGAAAATTCGTAAGACGGATGAAGAGGGAGAGACAGCCGGCGCGGCGAAAATGTATGCCTGTGCCTGCTGTTTCGTTTAAGCGACGCAGGGCGCTTGCGCGAATGTTCGTGTGTGATAATTAAAGCAATTCGTGCAAAATTATTCCCCAATCATTCCGAAATATCAAAAATGCACACCGTTAATATTCAAGTTTTCACTTCTGCCGGCACTCCCGGAGTGCAACCCGTCGTTTTTTCTATGGAAGCGAGACATTTTGATCTAAGTTCACAGAAGTGATAACGCATTTGCATTTTGGTTTTAATAAACAATATATGTAGATTTCTATGGGCCACAGCATCCATTTACCATGCCGATTGTGAGCTAGTTTATCAGTCTTATTCTATAAAAATATATTTGAATTACGTACTTATCTTTTGAAAAAATAATCTTCCTTGTCCAACGGCATCTACTTTCGGTTCTAAATCTATATGTACTAACGCCCCTGTCTTGGTTAAAGCCCTTGGAGAGACTTTTAAGGTAGTTCCATGGAAGAAAAGCTCAGGTAATGTTAGTTTTAAATCGTGCTCCATCAGAAACTTCACTCCCTTTTTATAAAGGGCGTCTGTCACTTCTTCCAATGGAGATTCTGAAAATAAAAAATATGTTGAATTTTATTTTAATTTTTTATGTGCCGATCATAGCACCAATTAATTAAAGAAAAAGCTGAAGGAGTCTCTTGCAGAAAAACTTAAATAAATAAATAAATATATTAATTTCGCCTTTTCAATATATTTACACAAAAACAAAAATAGTTTTATTGAAACTAGTGGTATAAAATCTGTGAATACTAAAAACAAGTGCTAAATAATGATACAAGTTACTCGACTCCAAAGAGTCAGTAATTATTTTATAGGGAAATGTATACACTTTTACAACAAAATCCCAGAAAACATGCAGGACCTAAAGATCATAAATAAAGACCATGCCGGCGTCTATAGAAGACTTCCGGAATATCACCCGATACTTCACGGCCGAGCGTGTGATAGGACTATCACACGTACGCTCTCGCCGAAGAAAGGAAAATTAAGGCTGTCCTCCGCGGAGTTCCCTATGAACTCGCAAACGAGGACATCTAGATGACCTAAAGTCCCAAGGTTTCCCAGTAGAGGCTGTGCACAAGATGCACAGCAGCAGGGGCGCGAGGTTTAACCTCGCCCTCCTAGTACTCTCTAACGAGCCGGAGGCAAAGACCATTTTCCGCCAGATACGCTCTGTGTGCGGCCTGTCGCGGGTTAAGGTTGAAACTCCACACAGGCGCGGTTACCCGGCATATGAATTATAATGCTTAAAAAAATTATTTAGCATAATTTGTTTTTTTTTTTTTAATACTATTAAAGTATATGGTCCTTGGGGATAAGACGATCGCTGTCATATTGTTTCTTAATATTTTATATTATTGTATTGCGAAATAATGTTTTAGAAATAAGTCCCATTTCGGTAGAAGCATAAATAACTTTCAGTAAGTATTCCTGAAATCTATCTTGGCGTAACGTAAACTATCAACGGGCAGCCACGTCAAAGGTACGAAACGCTCATGCACCTTCCACTGCTGCACACAGACCTGCTCTTATTTTTGAAAGGGTTGTAGAGTAATTAAAAGAACGCACTGCTCCAGTACATGTTGACGGAATTTTTCGGTAGAGCCATTCTGCAGTTGTATTAGTAATATAGTTGTAGCACGAATGGGTCGGCTCTCCAAAGAAAGGACCACGCTCTTACAGAATACCAGCGTAAAATAGTAGCTTAATGCTGCTGTGTAAATGAGGCATTCCATCTTAGTCCTAACGGGTGACAACGCATCTGCATTTTGATTCATAATCGAGGATAGATGTAGATGTCTATAGGCCACAACATAGACTTACAATCAGGTGGACTGTGTGCTCGTTTGTCACCCTATCCTAAAACAAACAAAGAAATTATTCGGTTTCTTTTCCTTTCATCATCATCATCATCATTACAGCCCTTCACAAGTCCACTGCTGAACATAGTAATGCCAGACAAAGCACGGTCCTGAGTCACCGGCATCCATCGACTTCCTGCATGTCTTACCAGATCGTTCTTTTCCTTTACCGCGGAACATTTAATTACTATAAAATAAAACTTTGAATCACTACTTAAAATTGCAACTATATATTTCATTGCTACCGGGGGCCAGTTTAGTACTACGTTCAGTAACCCGCCTACCCTGGGATAGGGAGTAAGGGATATATAGATTTCTTATACTTACGCGAATACTATACATGGAACCAATTTTACAAATTTATACTTTGGTTCTACGATTTTAATTCCCAATGTTTTGGACGTTATACGGCATGGTCCCGTGAATACAACGCAATAAAATCCGTAAAATTTGCCCTTGGAATATAATTCAAACTTTATTTTTTTAATATGTATATACAATCTGACCTAACTTATATCTAGCTCCAGATTCAAGAAGTTAACAAGCTGCGTTAGACGTATATCTATCAAAATGCCCATAAGGTACATGCTAAAAATATTGATACAAGTATTAATGCTTACCGATATTTTTGGATCGATAGTAGATATTGAAGTTTTATTTCGATACATCTTGTAAGTAAGAGTCAATACACATTACGAAGTCTCTGTTAAACGTATCAAAACATTGGTGGTATAATGGGGTGATAGGTTCCCTTACTCTGCCAACACATGGCCGTAACACTCTTTCAGTTATTAATAGTACATGACTACCTCGTTGATCCAATGGTCGTAAACGCTGTACTGATCATGGGTTCGAATCCCGGGACGGGGTAAAATCAGTTTATTGGGTTTTTCTATCAAGAAATTCTAGGTAGCAATCTAGAGACAGTTTACAAGTGTCGGATTGTTGTTCCATCGGATTATAAGTTTGAGGAAATAGAAAGTTCACCTATACTTGCGTCTACTCTTGGGCAGGATTAAATAGAACATAGATGGATGATGGATATAACATGGATGGATAGAACGGGATTATAGTAATCCTGTTCTACGCAGATGGCTAGCCTCCGTTTCTGGCCGCCCCGAATGGACTAGTCTGGACATTATTATTATTATTTTAGGGGTATTTATAGAGTCTTCTCATCTGGGGGTGGGGATGGGGCTGAATACATTTATAAAAAGGAATGATAAACAAACATATATATATATATATATATATATATATATATATATATAAAACTACATAAGTAACTAACATGAGTAAATACATAAATAAATAAAAGCCCAACCAGATGGAAGCCCTTGGCGGATAAGACCAAACGGCCGAGGGTTAGGGGGAAAGGGAAAGAAACCGGCGGACAACGCGGGCGGTATAGAGGAGCAACGCCTTCTGCATTTGAGCCCAGAGCGGTCCGTCACAGAGTCCCAGTCGCCTCAGATTACCCGAGAGGCTGACCGGGATTAGCCCGTTCGCAGAGACGACTATGGGAATAATTTTGGTCGGCAAACCACCCCAAATGTCAGTCACTTCGTGAACCAGGCCAAGATATTTTATGAATGAATGAATGAATATACTTTATTGCACACCACAAACAAATTTACAAAGAACATAACAGAGAGCAGATTACATGTACAATTTGGCGGCCTTATCGCTACATAGCGATCTCTTCCAGGCAACCAAAGGTGTAAAGGAATAAAACAGTGAGTACTAGGTAGGTGGTGCAATATAAATATACCTAATATAATATCAATACATGCAATAAAATAACATATAAGTAAATAACTAATACATTAAAAAAATATGATACACATATACATAGGTATATACATAAACATACACACACATATATACATTTATATATATATATACATATACATACATATACATACATACATATACATACATACATATACACACATACACATATATATACACATATATACATACATATATCCTCAAATATATACCACTAACAATAACATAAACAAATAAATACAGAACTACATAAGCACATAATTTATTCTAATGATTTTCGAACGATTGAGACAAGTAATGCTCTTTAAGAAGTCGATTAAAGACTACAATAGTCTGAGCTTCACGTAAATACAAAGGTAGGGCATTCCAGAGCTTAATAGACTGTACAGTAAAAGATTTATTAAAGAAAGATGTATTGTGAGTTGGTACCCTTAAAATGAGTTTTCTTGAAGAGCGTAAAGGTTCCCCTGAAAGCCCAACAAAACTAAATTTCTCCTTAAGATAAGGAGGAGTAGAAGGGTGAAATAAGACACAGTACAGAATAGAAATAATATGCATGTTCCGGCGAAATTGGATAGGTAACCACTTGAGACGTGAGCGAAATTGGGAAATGTGGTCAAATTTGCGCAATCCAAATATGAACCGAATACTAGTATTTTGAAGTCTCTCAAGCTTAGTTAGCTGGTCTTTAGTTATGTCTACATAGCTTGCGTCAGCATAGTCGAGAATCGGAAGGAGAAGAGACTGTGCGAGCATAATTTTTGTAGGAATGGGAAGAAATGATCGAAGGCGACGCAGTGAACTAAGAGCGACAAAGGTTTTCTTACTTACCTCATTCAGTTGGCGTTTCCAATTTAAGGAACTATCAAGGTAAACACTAAGATTTTTGACATTGTCAAAGTAAGGGATCACAACCCCATCGAATACAACAGGTGGTATGGAGAACCAGTCAATTCTTGAGATAAAGCACTGACTACCAAAAATGATAGCCTGTGACTTTTTAGGATTGACATTTAGGCCATATGATTGACTCCACTCATGAATCATATTTAAGTCATTGTTTAATGTAGCGATTGCATTTGGCAAATTCTCAAGAGTTGACTGGGTGTAAATCTGGACATCATCCGCATACATGTGGTAGAGAGAAGAAATTTTATGAGTAATTGAATTAATGAAAATGGAAAAGAGTAAAGGTGACAACACGCCACCCTGCGGCACGCCTGCAGTAATATCACACCAAGATGAGTGAGTTTCATCAACATGAATACACTGCCGACGGCCACAGAGATAACTTTGAAACCAGTCAATTACTGAAGGAGATATGTTAAGGGAATACAACTGACTCAACAGTATATCGAAATCAACAGTATTGAACGCATTGCTGAAATCTAGCAAGGTCATGACTGTGAGTTGTTTATTATCCATACCCCACCGTATGTCATCAGTAACTTTAATTAAGGCAGTAGCCGTACTATGACCGGGACGGAAACCGGATTGTAAAGAATTTAACAAATTGTGCTTATTAAGGAAAAGTGTCAGCTGTTGGCAAATAAGTTTTTCAAGGACTTTAGAAAGGAAAGGTAAAATCGAAATGGGACGGAAATCAGTGAGGTTGACGGGATTAGATTTCTTCGGAAGGGGTATAACATAAGCACTCTTCCAGGCTTGAGGGAATTTAGAGGAAGATGCACATGCGTTAAGCAAATGAGTGATAATGGGAGTGATAACATCAAGGAGAGGAACGATCATATTACGGCTAATGCTGTCGCTACCGACAGCATTTGAGGAGATGGATAATATGATTCTCTTAACATCACATACAGTAAATTGACTAAAAACGAACGGAGAATAATTAGGAGTCGGACTTACAGAAAGAGAACGAAGTGTTTGCAGTT